TGCTGTTTATTTTTAAAGTTGTTTTTATGAAAAGATACCGAGCGGTACCGAGCATGTTTTAGCTTCTCGGTGCCGCTTGGTACCATTCGATACCCCTCTATACTGAGCAATACCGAGCGGTACCGAGCAATACCGAGCGGTACCGAGCAATACCGAGCGGTACCGAGAAATACCGAGCGGTACCTAGCAATACCGAGCGATACTGAGTTCCAATACCGAGCGGTACCGAGTTCCAATACCGAGCAATACTGAGTTCCAATACCGACCAGTACTGAGTTCCAATACCGCTTGGTACCGAGTAGTACCGAGCAGTACCGAGTTACAGTACCGAGTTCCAATACCGAGCAGTACCGAGTTCCAGTACCGCTCGGTATCGAGCAGTACCGAGCAATACTGAGTTCCAGTACCGTTCGGTACCAAGCGATACCGAGTTTCGATACCGAGCCTATGATTAAGAAAACGAAGAACGACGAAGAAAACGAACCTTCACTGCTCACGTCACCTTCACTGTTCGCGTTGTCGAGCCGCTCCGTCGACGAAGGATGATCTTGTTTGCTTCTATGCTCGCGTCATCGAGCCGCTCCTTCAACTATAACGAAGAAGATAAACACTTGTGTGGAAACAAAAAACCTAGCTCTTTGAAATGTTTCAGCCGCATAAATGAATATGGATATTGAGTGGAAACGGTGGAAAGCCGAAAAGAATAGGATAAATTGCAGCTCCGTGTTTTTTTTTTAATAGGATACGTATATCCAATACGCGTGTCCAGTCAAATTTAAATAATATTTTAATTGGACACGGCAAAGACGTATTCGACACGTATTCGTGCCGTATCGGAGGTGTATCCGTATCCGACACGTGTCCGATACAGCACGCCTCGTAAATAGGAGTATTCGTGCAACATAGTCTTTACCCCTATCCTAGCCTAACAAAAACAAAAGCATGTGTGAGCTAACATAGTTAAATATGCTATCTTAGTCTAAAACATAAATCAATAATTTCAACTAAAAGAGCTAAAAATATTGAGATAATAAACTAAAGTACTATACGGAAAGATGAAATTAAAACAGATATTAATACTGAATACATTTAAATAACTATTGAAAATGTACTGAGACTAACTGAAATATAAACAAACATTTCATAGTAATTATCAAAATGACTCTTAGGCCCCAATTTCCATTATATAGAATTAAACAACAAAATTCCTTCTTGCCGCCAAAAAAATCCCTTATTTCCACCGGCATAATTCCTTTTTAGGGAATATTAGAATAGCTCTATGGCTACAAAGTTTCTAACACAATTTATAACATAATCCATTCTCTACACCAACAAAATCACTTCTCACCAGCAATAGAATCTCTTCTCTCCGCCAAAAAAATTTCATATTTCAATCAATGTACATATATTTCAATGCATTGCAGTTAGTAAACTATAATTGAATTATATTCAGAACTTGCCAAAATGCCTTAATGGTAGTCAACAGAAAACCCTACGGAGTATAAATTGATATTTTTTAGAAAATAACCAAATTAATGTATAATAAAATTATGAAGTTTTAATTGAACTAAAACACTATTTTTTATGTCAAAAAGAATTTCTGAATTTTTAAAAATTGTTATTTTTTCGAAATTACCTAACAAAAAATTCAAATAAAACCTTAAAACGATCAAAACAGTCGTATTGATAGCATATCAAAAGTTACGTGGCTGAAAGTTACCAAAATTCGAGAAACCATATTTTCGTAAAACCAAATTATAATTACGATTAGAAAAATCCTAAAAGTTATGAATTATTAAAAATTGAGATAGAAAAAATGTAATCTATCTCGATCCAAATAATATTCAAAACTGGGTTGATGGCTAAAAACAACCCGAAGCAACCCAAAATACAATTTCTCTCACTAGAAAACCTTCTCTCTCTCACTAGGCTGTTGCTCAAACGGAGCGGATCAGGTGGAATAGTGGATTTAGATATTTTTAAGTGCATAAATTTTCCCAGTGTTAGGGCGCTAGTTCATTTTCCAAATTCCCTAGACTATAGTGTCGAGGTGCCAAAAAATTAATACGTCTTGGAAGTAAAAAAATGAAAGAAACAAGTATAAACTGCAGAAATACGAAGATAGGGGCTGATTTTTAATCTCTCTTCAAGTATAAACAGGGTGCTAGTTCAACTTTTTCATTTATATGCCATTGTTGTTTATAATAGACCCATGGGATGTATACTTAACATTGGATAACCTTTGATTTTGTTGCATTACTGACTGATACTTTTCATTTTCACATTAACTAAGGTTTTTTTTTTTTTTGAACTTTCAGGTGACATGAAGTTTATCAGGATAGTGCTTTCAACTTTTTTTTTTTGGGTTAATCTTATTCTGTTTGTACCGTTTGCTTGTGAAAGTTTCAATGTTTTTCTCTTCTCCTTTAATAGCACGCTATCCAGGTTATTGTATTCTATGATGGCAAGTCTTTTGATCCAAAGGAGTACTTTCTTTCCTCCTATTTTAAGTTTTTTTATTTTTTGGTAAAAAATTGTGCATTACATGCAACTTGATAGTTCTCTTCATCTTATATTAACTCTGATTGACCCTTTACTTACAGTATTTTTGTTTGTTGGTCAAATCATTTGCTTTAATGGGCATAACTTATCACCCTATAATCCAAACATCTTGCATTTTAAGCATTCTAAAATTCACATTTTTGCTGATGAGCAATAGCCCTATTCCCTTTATTTCTTATAACAGCACTTACATTGCGGGATACTGAAAGCATGGTTGATGACACGACTGAAAGCAGGCTATATGTTGGAAATCTTGACCAAAGAATAACAGAGTAAGAAGATAAAATGAACTTTCTAATTTACTCTCTTGTTTCAGGAAAATTATTTTGTGCGGAATCCGAGCATGTTCGGAGGCGAATCCGGACATGCCATATCACCAGGGCCCAGTGCATCCGGTGATGTGGCGCGTCCGGATTCGTCTTCGAATACATTTGAATTCTGCACAGAATAATCCCTCATTGTTTCAGACCTTATAGTTTTCTTACACCACTATATACACTCTTGAACTTCAAAATTCCAGAGCCAATGTGATCAAAATTTTCTCTCCTTTTGGGAAAATAATATCTGAAGATTTCTTATGGCACACTCGAGGTCCTAAGAAAGGGGAACCTCGTGGTTATGTTTTTATCCAATATAGTTCCAAAGAGGTAAGTTTTTGCGTTATCTCATCTCTCTCATCTTACTATTCAACAATCTTATTTTTGTTTCTGAAGTGAGCATGCAGGAAGCTCAACTGGCAAAGACAGAGATGAATGGAAGGTTGGCTTATGGACGCCCTTTGGTTGTTCGTTTTGCAAGTGAGAAGTACTTGATGGATGCTAAAGATCCAGCGAAAGCCACATTTGATCTCAGAAAACCATGCTCTTCTTCTTCAGGAGGTGGAACTGGCCAAATGAGCCGAAGTGCAAAGATTGCAGCAATCAAGAATAAACTGAAGGCTTTGGAACAGGAGGGATGTAGCTTCAAGAAATCAAAGAGGGCAGAGAGCATTTATGCTTGCAGTGAGGATGGCAAGGAGGAAGAATGATTGTTGATTTTCCAAGATTGGGATCAGAAACCACTACACTTTGATATTTATGCAATATGGAACATTGTAAGAAACGCAATCTCTGTATTTAGGCTTTGTTTGGGACTGCTTTCGTACTGTTTCTTAAAGCAGTTTTTAGTATAAAAAATTAAAATTTTTGTACTAAAAAGTCGCTTTAAAAAGTAGTAAAAAAAGCCGACCCAAATGAACCTTTAATGTGCATCATGGGCCTTCAAAGCATTGATGAATGGTCAAGTTGTGAGAATAGATAACAATGTTGTTGTAAGCTTAGTTGTCAATTACCTTCCGAGGGGATGTTTGAGGGAGGCTAATAGAGATTTAAGATTAGTTTTCCTCCTTGCTTGATTTTTTATTTTTTATAGCTATATGTTTCTTGTTTTATAAATATAAAAGTGAGAGAAAAATTGCATGAGAATATTCTAATGAGTTTTTGTGTTAGGATGGGACTTCAAAATTCTTAGATTTGCACTTTGATTAGTGTCGCCTTTGAACATTATATGTTGTATTAATCTTAATATAAATTTAATAATGTAAAAAAAGTAAGATTATCTTACACAACTATTTCCAAGAAAATTACAGAATAAGAAACCTGCCAATAACATTCTATCTTTAGTTCATTACTCAATATTGTGACTTGGTTCAAACCTTGCTGGCAACTTTGCTAGCCTGATCCACAAGGCTTAGGGTGATTGATGAGCGAGTACGGTTGGGAACCCTCCATCTCAGGTTCGAATCCTCTCTTAAACTGCCTCGCCTCTTCAGTGGGGCAAAGCAAGGCAAAGCAAATGTGAGTTTGATGTCGGTGGGTGGCCTTGCTAGGTTCCGTCGAGGGATTAGTTATATTTTTAATTGCTCCCTTTAGAGTGATAGTGGGTAAGATACTCCCGTTTCTAAAAAAAAAGTTGTTACCCTACATTTTCATCAATTTGTTTCTGATTAGTGAATTGGCCATTCCACAATAGTTTTATTGTTGTATGTAAAAAGATGAGTGCCATTGATGTCTGGCATGGTGTGTTGAATGCATATCTTTATTTGTGAGAATTTTCTATAGTAGTTTTCAAGCATAAGCTTTTTTTAAAAAATAGTGAAAAAATTGTAATAAAAAATTATTCCAAATGAAATATAAAAATATTTATATTTTGAAATATTAAATATGTTGGGAAATAAGTTGATTAGAACATAATTTGGCACACAATCCCACCCAATGGAAACCAAAGGAACAATGATACATTCTTTTAAATATTGTAAATTGAAAGAGAAATATATTCTATCAATCTGAATGCGAGGGTTAAATTATGAAAAATTTCTTTGAAATTTCAGTATTATTTTTACTGGAAATTTTCTTTTTTTAAGTGATGGAATTTCCAACAAAAACTTCTCGAAATTTGTTAGTAGTCCACTTAAGCCAACCACTGAGGGTTAAGAACTCTATCCAACTTACTCTAAAGGTTTGTTTGAGACTATTTTTTTTACTGCTTATTGTTTGAAGAAGTCACATGACCATTATTCCCATTATTGCCATCTTAGGACCAAGGGTTTGGAAGCATGTGGGAAGGACTTAGAATTTGATTGGGTCTTCTGTTAAGATCCAAAGAATTTGCTATAACATTAATCAAGAGAAAGGAAGAGGAGGCTAACAATTTAATAATATTGGTGTTGGAAGTAGAGGCGAAATTTTAATTTTTGTACTAAAAAGTTGTTTTAAGAAGCAGTAAAAAAGCCGTCCAAAACGAAGCCTATATCCAACCCTAGAAGTGGGTTTAACTCATAATATTTTGAAAGAACACAGAAATATATGATAAGTAATATGAATAAGAAGAAGGACAAGGGGGAAAAAAGCTCTAGGGTTTAAAGCTCTTACTACAAGTAGTCAAAATCTTAATCTTCTTCCTTTCCATAGCCACTGCCAATGTCTTCTCGCAAGGGCACTTTCTCTCCTCTCAAAAGACTCTCCCAAAAGCTACTGGAAAAAAGACCTCAAAATCCTAAAAAATGTTGCTCAAGTATCCTCTAAAAATTTATTTTAAAAAAAGGTAAAAGTTAGATAAAATTTAGGTCAAATTGGGCTTTGCGCAGTATAGATGCCTACCTCACTATTTTAAAGTTTTAAAAAAATTAATTATGGGTGGCGGTTTTAGCAGCTTCACTCTCTGCTAGAACTCTAAAAATTATTGTTTTCAACACTTGGCCGTCATGATTGGCTACCTAGTGTCGGGTTTTGCGCTTGGGCATCCAAAATGGACACCTAGGAGCTAGGACAAAGACCTAGGCTCTAAACTGAGGGGCAAATTATTGCATCAGGTTATCAGACGCGGAGAATTTGACTGCGCTTTGACCTGCGCTTTACCCGTGCTTTTGACGCGTTAAATTTAAAATAAAATTTTATTAATATCCGAAACTTTCTCCGCGTCCGGTGACCGGATACAATAATTTGCCAAACTGAGGGCCTCGGCTCAATGGCAACTCAAAATCTCTCTAAATACAATTTTTTGCTTCACGATCACCAAATTCACTTTTCCTTCACATAAAAAATCATCAAATCACATGAATGAATACTAACCACATCAATAAATATATTTTTGAATTAGTACAATGGATTTCTTATTATTAAGCAAAATTAACATGAAAAATAAAAAAGATCTAACTAAAGAAATACTACTAAAGTGCCAACTATATATCAAATACCCTCACAGTTAGATCTTTGTTCATCCTTGAGTAATGCACCAAAAAAAAAAAGAGGCTCAAAAATCAAAAGACTGTTAGTGCAATGACTTTGTATATTATTTTGATTAAAATAGTCTAAAAAATTAAGTATAGTTATTTATCATACTAATAGGAATAATCTGTTGTTATAAAAATTATATTTACTATTATACGGAAATACTTAGTTTTCTCATTAGCCAAATAAGTTACACAGATATCAAGATTACCACTTAATTGTATAAATTAGATAATTTAATTGTATTATAAAATATTTAAAAGTGTAATTTACGATTTTGTATTAAATTTATGAAATAAGATTATTTGATTATATAAAATGTATAACAATTAAAACCGGTTTGGTGGTCGAACTGTCCAGTTCGAACCGTTTTTATCGAGTTCAATGTGAAGCCGATTTTAGAAAAAATCTGAATCGGCTGGCCAACCAATCCTCGGTTAGTCGGTTGAACAAGTCGATGGGCCGATTCAATCTAATTTTAAAAACAATGGGAAAACCTATTGGACATTCTGAGAAGATATCACAGTCACGTGAACATTTGCTTATCCTCGTGAAAATTTTCTTAATTTTTAAAACCTTGGAAACAAACATAGCTATATAATCTTCCACCATTTCCAAATTTGTCACAACACTATTGGGGTTAAGAAGTGAAACTAAGATTGAGCACCTAGAGCCCCATCATTTTAGATAGTTCTTGATGCGGTGATTGTCGGAAGAGTCGGATCTGCAAAATGGAAATCTCAATCCAGAAAAAAATATAAAGCACTAAGCTTCAAAAGGCTTCAAAGGAGGATAATATTTCATCATGCCCTCATCCTACTACAATGCTCCATATATAAGATAGTTATAGAATATTCTAGAAAACACTAGAGAAGTAGGTACAAGAGGTAATCTATTCCTAAAACTGCACTTAGTTAAAATGCTTCACATCATTCTCGCCTTGCGTCAAAAGAGCTCGACTCTGTCGAGGCTCGTCATTGGGAGGGAGGTAGAGGTGGACATCCTAACCACATATCCCTGGGTTGAAGACTTTGAATGCAAACTTCAAAATTACCACATCAATAGGCTTTCCCTAATCCAAAAGTGAGAAGGTTCAACTTTGGAATCATTGAATTGAACTAGCATTTCAGATAGAGTAGCGCACACAATGGTTATTTGCAACATGTATGATTCATTTTGATTGAAAAAGTCCTTCATGAAGTTACTAACACCAATGGTAAAAACAAGATTATTGTCAGGATATATATATCAACATATCTCTCCCATAAGCGTAAGCAAGCCACTTGGGTCAAACAGATTTTCCCCTGTTCAACGAAAAGCTTGAAGGTCTCATTGGGCTGGCAATTCTATGCATACTCATATAGTATTGAAGTAAATGAAATCTCATTCCGCTTCGTCGTCTCATCAAAAACCTCATTTTCTGCTGCTGGAGACTGTTTTGTCTGTTGTTCTGTGAATAATTTGGAGTAATTATATTTTCTGCAATCTACAGCCTCCGACACATTCTTCATGTTGCTATAACGGAAATCCACAACAGATTCTACATTGTTGCAGTCGGCATTTGGTTGCCCTACTGATAGTGACGAAAACACTGCACTGCCAGGCGATGCAGTGGAAGTTGGGGAAATTGTGGTTAGGGCAAGTGACATGGATCCATATGTGCTATACTTCCTTGGTCGTCCCCATTTCTTCTTTATCTGCTCCCTATGGCTGCCGGCATTTAGGCCATGAACGTTCACCACGGCCACAACTGTCTGTGAGGCCAACTGGAGCAGCGCTTCCTCCATGAAAGGGAGGAAGTTGATTTCACACACCAGTGATTCCTCCATGAAAGAGAGAAGGTTAGTTACCGGCACTGGTGGTGGGCAACTTACTTGTCTGATAGTAAAAATGGAACAGGTAATTTGAGACGTCACATTCAGAACTGTAAGAAGCGGGACTCCCATGATATTGGTCAACTTATTCTTCAAAGTAACACAAGCACTTCTATTTCTATGGTTGAAAATAAGTTTGATTATCATGAATTTCGTAGCTTGTTTACTGCATGCATAGTTAAGCATGACTTACCTTTTCAATGTGTGGAATGGTCTGGTGTTAGAACATTACTTCGATACTTGCGTCCTGATTTACAAATTGTATCCAGAAATACAGCACGAAATGACTGTAAGAAATTGTTCATTAAGGAGAAAGCTCAGATACAAGCCCTTCTATGTACTTGTAAGAGTAGAGTTTCCTTAACTTCTGATTTGTGGACTTCCATTAACACTGATGGTTTTATTTGCTTAACTGCACATTTCATTGACAATAATTGGCGGTTACAGAAGAAGATTATAAGTTTTGATTATATGCCACCCCCCCATGATGGTTTAGCATTATTTGAGAAACTTCAACAGCTTTTGATTGATTGGAAACTTGATAGTAAGCTTTTCAGTATTACTCTAGATAATGCTTCAATGAATACTGTCTCAGTTGATTTTCTAAGAAATCATTTGAATTTGCAAAATGCACTAATATGCAATGATGAATTCTTCCACATGTGATGTTGCGCACATATAGTAAATCTTATTGTGCAGGAAGGTTTGAAGGATATAGATTCCTCCGTTATGAAGGTTCGTGAGAGCATTAAATATATAAAAGGCTCTCAATCAAGAAAACAAAAGTACTACAAATTTGTATTTTCCATGTGTATCAACCGCATATGCTACAT